GCGCACACGTGCACACGCAGCTCTGGACTCCTGAGCGCTGTCCTGACTCCTCGGTCCCATGGACCGGGTTCGCACGAGGAGGACCCAGCACAGCACCCTTTCGGAGCCGCGCGGCTCTCGCTCCCGGCCTCCCTCCCGCCCCCCCAGCACCGGGCACCCCCAGGACTGGCAGCGATCCTGCTCTTTTGAGAACTAAAATTTCCCAGAGCCCTGAAACACTCTAAAGCCTTTTCAAGGAGGCTATTTTTGTCCTTGGAAGCTTAGGCCAATATTTAATCTTCCCGAATCACACAGTGTCTTGCATATGTAAGCACTGCCCATGTTCCCAGGAGAAAGCCACATTCATGGCATAATTTTATCCCGCAGCGCGGGGGCGGGGCTGCCGGGGCGTGCAGGATTGGGGTCTCCACCTCGGCCTGAGGGTGGGGTGCGGTGAGATCCCCTGGGGCTGCCCCTCTCCTCCGGGATGAGGGCTGTGACCTTTAACTGCACCCCACACCTCTGCAGCCCACAGCCCACTTGATGAGGAAAAGGACGGCAGAGGCGCCGCGCTTCCTCTATAAAATTCAACCCGTGCACTCTTGCTGTTGCCTGTTTCAAATTCACTTGACTGGAGAGATTTTTAACTTGTGAAACCAATCATAAGCTCACACAACAGCATCTCTTCTTCCAGTTAGCCTTAGAGTTTAGGAAACAGGAAGCCCGTTTCAGGGGTGGCCGGTGCCCCTGCTGCTGGGTTCTCCCGTGGGAGTGCAGGGTCGCTGCCGGCAGGAGGGTCTCCGATTTGGGGACACGTGGGCTTTTGAAAGTGGGAAATGGGAAAAGACCGCCCAGCAGACTGCGGTCAAGAGAGCAGGTTGTATCTGTAGCAGAAAAAGAAAAAAAAAAAAAAACTAGGTCAACCGCTGTCACCACAGGCAGATCCTATAATGCGGTGGTAAGAGTCGTCAGTTCACAAAAAGATACAATGATTACAAATGTATACCACCCAACGTCAGGGCAGCTGAACATAAAAAGCCATCATTGCAGAGGAAAAATAGGCAGCAACATGCAAACTAGGAGAGCTCGGAACCCGATTTCGAGCAACAGATAGAATATCTAGAGAGGAAAATCAGTAAGGAAAGAGTGGACTAACAAGTTAGGAACCAAGTGGACCCAACTGATGGACACAGAATGTCCCTCCAGCAAGCACGCAGACTCTCCTGTGAGATGGTCACACAGCTCGCAAAGTAAGTCCTTGCTAACTTAATGTTTAAATTACATCAAAAACCTTTCCTGACTACAATAAAATGAGCCTAGAAATCAAAAACAAATGGAAAATGAAAACATTTTGAAACACATGAAGTATAAATAGCACACTGTTGAAAAGCCAGTGAGTCAGCTGGGCATGGTGGCACACCCCTGTAATCCCAGCACTCCAGAAGCTGAGGCAGGAGGATTGCCAGTTCAAACCCAGCCTGGGGAACTTGGCAATTTAGCAAGACAATATCTTAGAATTTAAAGATGACTGTGAATGTAGCTCAGTGCAAGGCCCTTGGTTCAATCTCCAGTAAAAAAAAAAAAAAAAAATGGGGGACAGAAAAAGTACTAGGGGGAAAAAAAGGGCAAAATTAAGGGGTTGGTTTTGCTTGGAGCTGTTTCCATTGTTGATTGTTTGTTTGGAGACAGGGTCTCTCTATGTAGTTCAGGCTGGCCTCAAACTCACTATGTAGCCCAGACTGCCCTGGAACTCTTGGCAGTTCTCCTGCCTCAGCCTCCCAAGTGCTGGGATCACAGGTGTGCACTACTATGCCCACCTTAGTGCTTTTTTTTTTTTTAAATTGTTTTGGCAGGACACAGGCATGACAGACACACATATAATCCCAGCACTCTGGGAGGGTGGGGTAAAAGGACTGAAACGCTGAGCTCAGCCTGGACAATCAAGTGACTTAGGGAGATCTTGTCTCAAAATAAAAACTAGAAAAGAGTCAGATATGTGGCTCAGTGCAAAGAACCTGGGTTTAACCCCCAGCAGTGCAAAAACAAAACTTTAAAGAATAAACAAAATTAATAAGTTCTTGACTAAAATAAAGAAAATAAAAAAATAAATGAAAGAGAAGACATTATTACCAATGACACAGAAATAAAAGATCATGAGGGAACATTGTGACTAATTAAACACCAATGAAGTGGTTAATCCAGAAGAAATGGATAAATTACTAAGAAACAAAACCTATGAAGGCAGGATCAAGAAGAAATACAAAGTCTGAACACACCAATAACAACAGGAAGCCCAATCAGGAGATTATAAGAGCAACAATTTTTTAAACCTTCCAGCAAAGAAGCTGAGAATAGTGGTGCATGTCTATGATCCCAGAAGTCTGGGGGGCTGAGGCAGGAGGATCTCCAGTTCAAACCCATTCTGGGCAATTTAGTAACAAGACCCTGTCTCTAAAGGACTAGGGATGTAGCTCACTTTCATAGCTCTGGGTTCAATTCCCAGTACAGGAGGAAGAGGAGGAGGAGGAGCAGAGAAAGAAGAAGAGAAGGAAGAGGAAGAAGAGGAAGAGGAGAAGGAAGAAGAGGAAGAGAAAGAGGAGGAAGAAAAAGAGGAAAAGGAAGAAGAGGAAGAGGAGGAGGAAAATGCAGAAGAGATGGAGGAAGAGGAGGAGGAAGTGGAAAAAAGGAGGAGGAGAAAGAGGAAGAAGGGGAAGAGCAGGAGGGAGCAGCAGGAAGGAGGGGAGGGAGGGGAAGAGGAAGGGAGGGAGCCGAAGGACTGCATGTAAACAGCCCGCAGGACACTGCACACCAAGGTCGGCAGAGAGCGGCAGAACTGCAGCCTACAACTGAGGCAGAGATGCTCCTCCTGCTCACACGAACGAGGCACAGCATGAAGAAAATGCAGTGCAAGGGTCGCTTGATCATCTCCACAGATGTAGGAAAATCACTGACAAACCTCAAACTCTCTCACTATACAGAATAGGTGCAGAAGGAGCTGACCTCGACTCGGTGAAAGTTGGATTTGAGAATTCCGTGTGGACGTCAGACGCTGCTCTTCCTATAAGACCAGCGCGGGAGGATGTTCACACTTGCTGCTTCTGCCCCGCCTGGTAGGGAAAGGCCTAGCCACAGGCGAGGAGAGAGGAAGAGACAGGAAAAGCAATCCTAAGAGCTCCAACAGCCAAGGCGACTTCAAGGAAGAAGAGCAGAACGTGAAGCATCACACACCCTGGTTTCAAAATATGTTACAAAGCTTTAGTAATCAAAACAGCCTGGTGCCATGAGAACAGGGCGTGTCGACGGATGGACAGAATGGAGGCCAGAAATCCGCTGGTGCCTGTAAAAGTGCCAGGAATGCTGCACGAGGAAAGGTTCATCTCTCTGACAGCTAGCTTTGGAAGAAACAGATCCACACCCAAAAAGAAAAGGAATCGAAGGGAGGAAGGACATTGAACCAGCGTCACTGCTCCCCAGGGAATCCAAATGCGAGCCACAGCGCTCTGAAGGGAAGAGCAGCGTCGGTGTCGCACAGGTGCGGAGGGGACCCTTCCACCCTGGTGGAAATGTGCGTCGGTGCGCTGGCTACCGAACCGCCGGCCGCTTCCTCTGTTACTGCAGGACCCAGCAAGCCGGCTTCTGGTACTTGTCCCAAGGAACCGAGTCTGGGATGGTGGAGAAATACCTGAACCCCGCTGTTCGGTTTGGTTTTTCCTCTTGAACTCCGCTGTTGATGGCAGCGCTATTCACAATAGCAAAGCCGCAGAAGCAGCCAGGCGTCTGTGGCCAGCTGAAGGCTGAGGAACCTGTGTCGAGCCGCAACTGTGTGTGGGGCTCAGCTTTACCGGGAAGGAAACCCTTTCGGTCGCCTGGAGGACACTGCAGAAGGCCGGTCTGGCACCTCCCAGGTGGGTCTGGAGCAGCCAGAACCACAGCAGACGCGAGAGGGAGGAGGGGGGCGATCACCAGGGCTGAGGCCGGCTTCGGGTTCAGAGTGACACCCTGGGGCGGAGTCCGGAGACCCCTGAACAGCACGGTGCATCCGTCCTGTAAGGCAGCCTAACCTCAGCGCTCGAAGGCACCCAGCAGCCGGGTCGCAGGACGTGTGGGTGGGCTACGGCTGCACGCACCTCTCCCGATGGTCCAGTTCTGCACACACACACCTTGCTTTTTGTCAACAATCGCACCTCAGGAAACAGTTTCCTTAAAAGAGACAAAGAGCTGGGGATTTAGCTGAGTGGTGCCACTGCCTCCCTCGAAAGGCAAGGACCCAAGTGCAATTCCTGGTACAAAATAAATAAATAAAAATAGAACCCAAAGAACAAAACAGACGAAAAACTGCGACATGGGACAGGAAGGAGGGGAAAGACCAGCTCCCAGGGACAGCTGGAGCCTCTGGATGTGTAGACAGCCGGCCCAGGGCACCTGTGGACGAGGCTGCCCCTGACTTTGGCGCAAGGAATGAAGTGACCGGTCCTCCTGGATGCAGGGAAGGCTGCTCCCGCCTCTGGTCAGGGCAGGTTGCACGCGTTAAAGGACAGGAGGAAGAGTCAGAGAATACACAAAGGAGGGAAGACAGAAGAGCAAGCAAGACACCTCCGGTCTCCGAGGCAGAAATGTCCTTAAATAACGCGGAAGGTCCTGGTGTGCACCGCAGTGCCTGGTGCATTACACGGAGTCGATTTCGGGAGAAAATGAAAGGGTGGGAGACCGGAGGGGCAGCGGCCCGGAAAGAGCATGCTTTGCTGCCTTCTCCCGGAAACACAGGCTTTAACAGTTTATCAGATTATGTATTTTTCATTTCAAAAATTTATTTCATTGTAGTACAAGTAGACATTAACAAAGATTTTTAAAAATAGTCTTCTATGAGAAAATAAATCAAAATTTCATAACCAATTAATTAAAGAAGAACATTAGTTAATATACTGTGTACCATAATCTTGAAAGAATGGCCAAAATGTTAAAGACCAAGTCTTAGACAAAACAAAAAAGACTCTTACAAAATAGAAACTCATAGATAATAGCACAAAACTTTCTTTACAGGGAACTAAAAAGACCTAGCTGTATAAATGAAACAAATTAGCCTATATATTAAAATATTTTATCTGATTATAAAAGTATTCATAACCTGCAAATATTTCAAAACGCAGATGAGAGTTTTATATTATGGAAGTTACTATATTTAATATTTTGGTGTATTTCCTTCCAAGATGTTTCTGTGCACACAGGCACATTCCCACTTTCAAACGTAATATAAAGATTATTACGAATAGCTAATCAATCCCCAGGGGGTCTTCAGGCTCCCTTCTGGCGTTAGGAATGGGGTCGCTGGTCCTGGAGCTCTCTAAGCGTTCAGTGTGACTGGGCCGATTCCAGCGTCTACCCTCACACTGACTGCACCGCCAGGGTGACAGTGACAAGTCTCGGGGGAGGACTTCGAGGTCGTGCATCCCTCTCTCTTATGAAACAGTCAGGAGACACTGTGGGGCACACTTTCAAACAGCCGTGGCTGTCCCCACTAATGCAGTGCTCGGCAGCAGGGCCCCGGGCCCCCAAGCATGCGCTCTGCGTGTGGAGGGCAGGTGGGAGGACTGGAACAGTGTGGGTGACAGATGTGAGGTCTTGGATTCTGCTCTTTGCAGGTTTGTCAGCATTTCTGCACATTCCAAGATTTTCTTGGAGTACAGATTGGAAATGTGTATTTAATATTCATCCGGTGGATTTATCTTAATAAATTCAGTTACTCTCTTTTCCTTCATGTTAATGTGGTTGGAGATTTTGTTATAATTAAAAGATCCTAAAATTACTAATGCTGTAGAAAAACTTTTATGTGTATTATTTTTATAGATGCAATGCTAAGAAATAAAACATGACTTTGTATGGTAAGCCTCTATAAGTTGTTTCGTATTGGTTTTCATTTTGAGACAGGGTCTCAATGAGTTACCCTGGCTGGCCTCACGCTGTGATTCTCCTGCCTCAGCTTCACAGAGCACTGAGATGGCAGGGATGTTCTGCGGTGCCTGGCTGCCCCTGTTGAAGCAGGAAACAGAGAGGACCCCGGCACAGGTAACTCTTTAACATGAAGATAGGAGCAAAAAGAGTCTTTTAGTGATGCCGGCGGGCGACTCCTGTCAGTCTCGAGCGCCCAGATAGAAGTCTGCACCTCCGTGTCCTCCTCTCTCCACATTTACGAGGCTTAGTTCCGCTGGAAATATGGCAAGTAGGATTTACATGAAGCAGAGCCGCGGACAGGGAGAGCCAGGAGTTCTGGCAGGACTGTCTGGGCCCGTTACACTCCCTTGGTGACAGATTAGAGAAGTTGTCGTGGCTGCTCAGCTGCGTTCTCCAAACAGCACAGTTACCCAGTTACCCATTTCCCGATCCCATATGGAGGGGGGGGTCCCCTCTCACGGTGAGTCCTGATCTACAGGTGTTTCATCACGTACAGCCAATCAGTCGGATGTAGATCCCATTTTATCTTCCCTGTAACATAGGCTGACACTATTTTCTCTTTTCTTCTTCATTCTTTGGCAATAGGAAAAATGCTTTTACTTGTTTCATTTTTCATAATGGAGAGATGAATGGTCTTCATATTCATCAGGAGATGGCATTTCACCCTTTGTGTGTGTTGGGATTTCCTTTCCAAAGCATATTCAGCATTACTCATGTGTTTCACTGGGACTTCTTGGATGAAGTGTCCGTCTCCCCCACTTCCATCCACACCCCGAAAGTCTCCACCAATTGAGAAGTCTTGGAAGCCAGTGACAGTCCGATTTCCTCTGGAGTTGGATTTGATTTCTTATCCAGCATGTGGGCTCCTTGTCAAGTGAAGATCTGGGGAACAGAAGGGCCAGTGTTCAGGGAAACAGGTGCTCTGGAAACCAATGTGCTAGAGTTCGCAGGTATCTCTCAGGTAAGTGGGTGACCCTGAGTAAGGACCTTCAGGGAAAGCCAGCAGGGGGACGGTCCCCGCTGCCTGCTGGGAAAGGAGACTGAAGTGTTCAAATCGCAGTGGGTATCAGAGCCACCTGTGGTGCCTTTGGAGCCATTGCTGCTCCCCCCACCCCAAGGGATCCAGATTCAGTGGTCTCAGCTGGGTCCAGGGAACATGCATTTCTAACCACAGTGCTAGGTCTGCAAACAGGAGCCCAGGAGCGGAGGGCTTCACCTCCCTGAGTCCCCAGCACTTGCCACTAACCCTGATGCAGATGCTTGTCAGGTGCAGACTGAACCCAGGACCTTCACAGTGAGCTGCATACATCCCAGCCCTTTTTTAGCTTTTACGTTGAGATAGGCTTTCACTTGGGCTGGGCTTGAACTCACGATCCTCCTGCCTCATCCTCTCAGAATGCTGGGATTACAGGCGTGTGTCTTTTGCTCTGCTGAGATCCAGCCCGGGGCCTGGGCATGTGGACAAGCATTCAACACTGAGCCAGTGCTGCTTCTGTTCCCTGTGTGTCTCTCCCGCCCACGGCCGCCAGGTCAGGCCTCATGGGATGGGCTGCAGAGCTGAAGCCCACCACCCTCCGGGGCAGAGTCTGGGCTGCGCCCTCCCCCAGCCCAAAAGAGATGGAGAGACAATCACACCCACACACCCTGTGTGTTAGTCAGCTTTCCTCCTCACTGTGACAAAAGACCCGGCCTTTAGGGGGTGTTCCGGATCCAAGCTCAAGGCTGCTCTTGCCACGGTGCTGCGAGGCCTGTGCTGAGTGCAGCAGTGGGCGTGGCCTCCCCATGCCCCGCCCAACAAATCCCTGTCAAAGGACGCAGAGCTCCCAGTGCAGGGCTAAGGATGGCAAAGCAAAGCAAGCCCTGGATCCCAAAATGCCTGTGTCCTCTCCTTCAGGTTCCTTGGTAAAGTTTCTCCGACAGCAGGAGAAGGCACGGCAGTGGGGCTGATTCTCTGCGCTCTAACAGGATGGTTTCCAAGACTGTCAGAGTGCACCTCTTTCCTCTCAGGGCCCTTCCTGCAGAGGGGAGCAGCATTCAGTAAGGAAAGCACGCTCAAGTGCACAGATAGATCCCGAAGTGTTCATGGCGAATGCAGAGCCCTTTGCTTTTATGTGGTCACATAAAATGCTCCATATGCTCTCGCTTTTTTTAATAAAAGGTATAAATGGGCCGGGGATGTGGCTCAGTGTCAGAGTACTTAGCAGTGCCTTGGTTCGATCCCCAGCACTGTAAAGAAAGGTGGCAAGAAGAAAAAAACAAAATTATTAAAATTGTGTTCTGGCAGTGGATAGTGGAGAAGTTTGGTCAACTATCTAAAAAATAATAGACTCTTTTTTGTTTTAAAGATTAATTCCTGGCAGGCGTGGTGGTGCACACCTGTAATTCCAGCACTCGGGAGGCTGAGGCAGGGGGATCTCTCTGAGTTCAAGACCGGCCTGGGCTACATAGTGAGCTTCAGATCAGTCTCAACTACATAGTGAGACCCTGTCTCAAAAAACAGAAACAAAAACAAAACATAAAAATAAATAAATAAATAAATAAATAAATAAATAAATAAATAAATAAAAATTAATTCTTATAGCTGGGCATGGTGATGTGTACCTACAATTCCAGCACTCTTGGTGGCTGAGTCATGAGGATTGCAGGTTGGAGCTCAGTCTGAGCAATTCAGCAATTTAGGAGACCCTGTCTCAGAATAAAAAATAAACCAAGGACTAAAGATGTAGCTTGGGGTGAAGGTCCTGAGTTCA